AGCAGAAAAGTGACCATCAGAGATTTAATCTTTAGATGTTTAAATGATTGCAGGAAAGTGGATGGTTTAAAAAAAATCAACTCAAGACAGAAATAAGAAGCGAAGATGAAAGAAATAGATCAGTGGAAAGATGGAGGAGGAGAGTAACGGTTAAACGACTAACTGAGGAGAGGAGCTGGATTAGGAGTAAATTAATTGGAGGAAAAGGAATGAAATCATCTGGTGGAAAGATGGAGGAGCAGGAGGAGAGAGAGAGAGAGAGATGGGGAGAAACCGTGACAAAAATGAACAGGAGATGAAGAGATATGAGGGAGAGGAGAAAAGAGAACAAAAATGAAATGAAGGATTGTTGCTGGGTCAGATGATGGGGGGGTGGGGGGGTGCTGGGGGAGGGGGGATGTGACCGCCCTCGGGGGTTATTGGGTCGTGGACAGCCAATCTCTCTCAGCTTAATCAACAGCAGCAGAGGTGATTGCAACACCGCAGGGGACTGCTAGGAAAAAGGAGTGTGGGGGGGGGGGGGGTAGCCAAAGATTGGGGAAAAAAAGAAAAATGGGCGTGAGGACAGAAAGAGATGAGCAGCAGGAAAAATGAAAGATTGAGGAAAATAAAGGAGAGAAAATGGAAGAAAAAGAGAAAAAATGAGGAAAGAGGAGAGACAGAAAAACCAGAGATGGAGAGAAAATGAAAGAGAACAAAGATGGAGGAACATCTGATTACAAAAGGAGAGAAGGGACAAAAATAAAGACAAAACCTCGATTATTTCAGAGAATAAAGATTATTAAACTGAAATTAAAGAAAATACAAGAAAAAACAAACTGAGAAAACAGGAATAACAGAATTATTAAGGACATAATTATTGAAATGATTTGGTTTTAAAACACAAAATCCAAAGAGATACACAGTTTATTAAAGAATAAGAAGTATTAGAAATTAAAATTCTAGTTTAATTCCACATCAGAAGAATAAAGAGGTTAAACAGATCTGATCCTGTTTGTTCATGTGTTTAATCAGGGATCCAGAAAAGCTTCTGAACAAACAAAGATCTGGTTCAACTCATCAGGGGAGCATTTAGGAAATATGGGGCCCAAGGCAAAGACGGGCAAGGGGCCCTCTGAATGGAGAAGACATAAAACAGACCCATTATACAGATAGAAACATTTCAATAGGGGATTTATGGGATCCCCTAATGGGATTTACCATTTGGCAATACTAGGCAGTTGCCTAAGACCCCAAGTTCCTGTATGTTTAATACATTAAACCAGGGGTCTTGAACGTTTTCCAGGCTAAGGACCCCCAAACTGATGACAAGATGGAGCGGGGACCACTAATTTTATATATTGTATGAAATAGTGTTATATCAAACTGGTCCTATAGTCACTCTATTACAGATGGAGTAATGTAATGAAAGTAATCCCTTCCTGGGATTATTAAAGTATTTCTGCTTCCTGGTTGATGGGACAGGTGTTGTGAATGAAACGGTGCCCAGCTTGAAAGAGCTCCTGTGTGTCGCTGAATGTGAGCATTGATTATTGAAAGACATCTTCTGCCTCCATTTATCTGTTTACTGCAGTCTGTTCAATTCATGTTAATGTGGATTTAAAGACATTTCAATTCAGGAGGGAATATATAAAAAAAAAAGAATCCACCAAAAGTTTCGCGACCCCCATGCAGTACCTCTGTGGACCCCCTAGGGGTCACGGACCCCCTGTTGAAGACCTCTGCATTAAACTATTCCTTATTTGTGCACATTAATGATGTTTTTGATAAAAATCCTTTCATTAAAATGCCATCAGAACGCTGATAATATAAAGTGTGTCTCAGCCCCCCCTTCAGTGTCCACCATATTGGATCAGTCCATTTGCTGCACATGTTCAGAAAGGTCCAAACAGACAGCAGCAAACCATTTGAAAACAAACCATGCAAAGAGCAGTGTTGCCAACTTAGCGCTTTAGTCGCTATATTTAGCCACTTTTCAGACCCCTCTAGCACTTTGATTTCTAAAAAGCTCCTAGCGCCAAATCTAGAGACTTTTTTCTGCTACTGGAGACTTTGGAGACAACATCTAAAAGCAGCGAACTCTGCTCTCCAGAGCGAGTAGATTGGTAACCCCGCCTCCTGCTCTCCTCTATCTTGTCTGCTGTCATGATTCATGCAGCTATTATTTCATCCAAATGAAAAATGGAGAACAGATAAGCAGATCATGGCTTGTCTACAGTGAAAAGAAGGACTGGGTTATTTACTTTGGCCTTTTTGGAAACACAGGAAGGAGCAATCAGCTAAGTGAGCTTAGTGCTTGGAAAAAATCTTTAATTCCTTTAGAGACAGCATGAAAAGTCAGCTGAGTACAAAACATAGAGAGGAAAACAAGAAGAAAAGGGACAAGAAGAGAGGGACACAACCTAGAACAGAGAATGGATGTCTATTCTATTAACATTTCTCTATCTGGAGAATGGGGCTGTTTAATGTGTTGTCTTCTCAGTTCAAAGGGCCCCCTGCCTGTCTCTGCCCAAGGCCCCAAATTTCCTAAATCCACCCCTGGAGTCAGCAACATGCTGAGAACAACCATAAATAAAACAAACTTTGCAGAAGCATCATTGGATAAACTTTTCCATGAACAGATTTTATTTGGAAGGAAGACTGATCAAGACGGGTAAATGCAGGAATTATAGCATGTCCTCAAATTCATACAGCACCAATTAGAATGAAACACCGCACATGTTAGCAGATACTGTACATTTACATCACTTTGGAGACATGGTTTATGTACAATGGAACACAGAAATAAATAATAGTGAAAAAAAAGACTAATTCACACATTTTTGCTTTATGTGGAGCATCAATTCTTTGTTTTCAGCTGTGACATCGTGTTAAATTATTAAACCTTTCTTCATACAAAGATGAGTTTTTTTTGACCTGGACATCAGAGTGTTTCAGCAGGTTTAAACTTTCAGGTGGAAAAGTAGTTTTAAGCATAGAGCTAATCATTCATGTTATAATAACATGAACATTATTTGACCAATTTAGCATCACAGCACTAATCAAAATTTAGAAAACGCTCCTTTGGATGGATAAAAGTCACGTATGGAAAAAAAAACACATTCAAAACACAAAGATCTTTGCTAACATCCGAATAAAACAACTTTTATACGTCAAAATATTAGAAAAATAAGAGATGGCCAAAGACGCATCCTTTCTAATCCAGTGGAAGAACAAAAGCAGGAAACTGTGCGTGTAAATTCGATAGGCATCGATGACGCCATCAGCGGCTAGAATTCGCATTCATGGGGATTTATCATAAACAGAAAATTAGAAAAGCTGTTAGCTATCAGCGTCTTCATGTAGAAATAAAGATCAGATAAAGGGGGAAAACATCAAAGTGTTGAAAGCTAATTATTAGTATGAGAATTAAAATGAGCTTTATGCATATTTACCATAAATACTTTATTACTAAACCTAGTTAGCAGTTATCAGGCTAGGTTTTTTAAACTTGCTAACTGTTAATGCTTTTATTGTATCCATTTTTCCAATAACAGCCCACATTTGATTAACTTCTAAGTTAGCTTACCACTAGCTTAACGGTGTTAGCTTAAAGCTAATAAATGTAGCTTCCAGAAATGTAAATCGTGTTAGCGGGTGTAACTGTTGTTCAAGAGTTTTTAGTTAGTAACCGAAACAATTGTTTATTTTACAGAGAATCAAACTCTTATGCTTTCTTGATGCTAGCTAAAACCTCCCTGTTAGCTTCTGGTTAGCCAGGTCTCCCTGCACATTAAAACATTTTAGTTAACTGCGTTTTAACCACACTTCCCACCCCCCAAAACATTGACTTTTTAATGTTAGTCTTAAATACGTGAATCTTTTAGTTAGCTTGCTGCCAAATAAAGCTTTACTGTAAACGACGACTATTAGCTTAGTCTACAAATATTTCAGGTTAGCGAAACCTATTTAGCTTGCGGGCTGTCTGCTAAATCTTTGCTGCCAATTATTGTTTAGGTATTTTCAATAGCGTAGACTCTGCTGAAACATGATCTAGGGGAGTTTTCAGATATATTTTGCCATTTAGGCATAATTTCCACACAGATTCCGCATTTTGGGAGACAGAAAAATATAATTTCTTGAAAAGCATGTCTAAAAGTGGAATGGCTTTAAAACACAGAATGAGTTGTTGGTTTAATATGTTAAATCCAGTGTTTTTTAAAGTCATTCCACCGTCACAAGTACAGACCAATGAAAATAACTCTCTTAATTTAACTCATCCCTTTGGGGAGCAGTCATGGGGGCTAAATATGTTAGCTTGTAGCATGCTAAGTTTTATAAGCAAAACTTTTCCAGTTTGTTCTTCTAATCTAAAGATTTGAGACTCGATAAAACAATTGAACCAGTTTCTATTTATCTGCAGCACTGATCAGTTTGAATAGAATGGCTGGACGCCGCCGCGCCTTCGAGCGCCTGGTGACCAACTGTTTTAATAGAAAGTGGCTTATTTTTGAAAAGGATGAGCCTATTTTGTGTTTTATCTCTCAGTCTTTAAGCTAACGGCAGGAACCTGTAACGTCCTGATGGTGGGCTGGATTTATTTCTTTTTTTCTATTCATCTGGTGCAGCAGAGTATTTGGTTTTCTTCTATTTTGAGAATAAAGTTGTAAAATTACGAGAATAAAGTCATAACATTACTAGAATAAAGTAATAAATTTATGAGAATAAATTCGCAACGAGAATAGTGGTAACGTTACGAGAATAATGTAATTTTAGATGCAGGTCCAGCAGCAACTGCTATTAGACTGCTGAATGTTATGTAAAATAGGTTATTTTATTGTATTTTATTATTAAAAACAAAAAAAACTGAAATGTTAGAACTGTAAATATACAGTCATGTTTATATGACTGTTTTTATGTTTTTTTTTTTTTTTACCGTTTCCAAGGCAGCACTTCAAAAAAACAAACAATAAATTTTTCTAGAGAGCTGTTCTTACTTGTGTATACAAAATAAATCTAAGTCATTTTACGACTTTATTTGCGTAATTTTACGACTTTATTCTCGTAATAAAAAAAAAAACAAAATTCTAGCCTGGCCCTAATACCGCGTTGTAATCTGGTGCATAACAGACATGCCAAAAGAAACAAACAAAACAAAAAACACTATAAGCCCTTCCATGTATCAGAATCAGGGATTTGTTGGCGGTTTTTGAGCTTTAGACAATCATAGTGACATCATGCCTACATGATGAAATTAGCTTATCGGTAATGCTAACTAGCACACTGAGAAAGGCTTCACAGTAGAGGCCTTTGTTGATGGATGGAACAGATGAATTTTTCTGGATGTAGGAATCAGAAACTTAAAATTAAATGAAACAAAGAAATTAAAAAGTGTCGTAATCAATTATTTTATCTAGACAGACTTGGATCAAAGGGAATCTGAATAAACGAAGGTGGAGCTGCCGTCCAGCCGCTACTGCTAGCGGAACGGTGCTCGTTGAGAAGAGGCTCCTAGCGTCTCCAGTTTGCTCCTTTCAGGGCGCCAAAAAAATGCCTTCATGACAGTTTCTGGCTGGCGAAGAAGGCCTTGGTTTCTCCACAGGTGGGGTTGGTGCACAGCGGGCAGCGAAGCGTCAGCTGGCGGGAACACGGCTCGTTGGACTTCAGGTGGGACTGGACCAGATCTGCCAGAGCCTGGACACAAGCAAACGTTTCTCCTGATGAGTCGGACTATTTCTGGTGGAAGCCTGAAGGTTTTCTTATTGAAAATAATTGTTTTGCAATCAGTGTTGCTGTGTTTAAATCTACACTCCTGTAATGCTTTTGCTTAATTTTTATCATGCAATTGGAAGAAGAGGAAAAGCTTGGCCCTCCGGTGTCAGCAGCACATATCAGCCTGATGGTCTGAATAGTCGGTCTTTAACCCCTTGGAGCCTGAATTGTATTACATGTACATACAATAAAACATTATTCCCTTCAATGAGACACCAAATTAAAATAGGTAATGTTACTAAATAAATAGAAATGGAGATTAAGTATATTTTGTAACAACAGTTATAACCACATAATAACATACAGCGTTAGTAGCACTGGGGTGATGCAATGATGCTATGGTGGCTGTTTGCCTACACTGCAAAAATGTTCTGAAAAAAAGTAAAAATGTCCTAAAATAAGTGTATTTACCCTTAATATGAGTAGGAAAATAAAATGATCTGCCAATGGAATGAGTATTTTTAACCTTAAAATAAGATAATTAGATATTATGCACTTATAATAACAGACTACAGTTGTTTTAGTCTAATTTTAAATGTACATTGTCTTATTCCGATGGCAAAGTGTCTCACTTACCTGCTCAATTCAAGAAAAAATGCTCTTATTTTAAGAAAAATTGACTTGCTTTACATTTTTTTCAGTGTAATAAAAGCGGTTTGTTGCTTATTAGCAACATTAGGCATCAAAGCGTTAAAAAGCAGAGCGATAAAAGTTGCATTAAGGCCGTAAAAGGTTTTGAAATGTTTTAGAAAACACATTTTACAGCTGTGGAGCTTTTTTAATCCACCAAACTGAAATCAGGTCGTTTTCTTCCAGAGTCTGTGGGAAATAAAAACCCTGTGCAGAAGTGGAAGGGTTCAGGATGTCTGGGACGGTTAAATCTGGCCAACGCTGCGATCAGGAGGAGGGTTTATAAAAACAGGAGCCCGTCGTCCGTCGGGTCTCGCTGTGCAGAACCTGATGGACGCATTTTTCTTGATTTTCCAGCAGCAGCAGCTCAGGAGGAAAGCAAAGGAAACCATCCTTCAGTAACTACCAACGGGCAGCGGGTCGGAGCAGCCAGCCAGCCGGGCCGTTCAGTTCTACTGGAGTCAGCTTGAAAGGTTCCATCGATCTGAAGCGTTTCTTTAATAAAGGCTGAGTGCTGCAGCCGGACGGGCCGCCTGACGGGCCGGCGGCGCACCCAGGAAACAAACGCCGTTCATCCAAAAACTTCTTCCAGGTCAAATATTTTCTCTAACTGGTTTATCTAATAAAAATAAACAAGCTGTTCCTTTGCAGCAGCTACAGAAGGAACTCAGGTTATCAGCTAAACCTCAATAAAAAAAAACAAAAAAACTCAAACTATACAGACTCCTTACATTCAGACTAACCTCCACAACAAGCAGAGGTCACAGAAGGTCGTTGATAAGGAATTTGACTCAGACGCCTGAAAAATCACATCAGTGGAAAGTTAAGTGGAAGGAAAACTGACTAAACTGAAGCTTTCAGCTCGTCTGTCGCTCGACCGAACTCCATATATTCTCCATGAGGTTCTGGTCGACCCGATTCCCTGCCTAATCCGACACAAACAGAACATCGATTAAAAAATTTCTTTTTTTTTTATTTTGTTTTTTTCAGATTGAAATTCAATTATTCAATTATTTTCAAATAGTTTTTTCCAGACCGTCTCAATCCAAACGCTCAAAATGACTTATAAAAAAAAAAAAAAAAAAAAAAGATCTGGAAAATGAAATAAAAAAAAAAAAAAAATTTGAAAAAAAAATTTGAAAAATATAAAATTCATATAGAAAATGTGAAAAAAACTTTAAAAGTATGAAAAATTTACTTGACCAAAAAAACAAAAAAAAAAGTCTAAGAAACAGCAAAGTTTCTCTTAAATCGTTTTTTTGATCGTTAATTTTAGTAATGTAATTTTTTTTCCCATTTACAAACCATTTTCTTTGCGGTCATCAATAATGGCACTAACCTCCCTCCATAGCCCCGCAGGGTGGGATCCTCTGATGGTTTCTGGATGTTTGCCTCCAACATGGCTGCTCTCACACTCTGTTGCTTTCTGCTAAACTTTTTCCTTCCACTGAACTTTCCTGTAATTTGCTCAGACACCTTTCAGACGATCCCTCTGTGTGAAAATCAATTATAAGCAGGAGCTTCACCTCAGGTCTTTAACGAGCCTCTTGGTTCATTAAAGAAGAGGACAGGAAAACGTCCTCCTTGTCTCTGATCCGTCATCAGTTTCTCTAATGGTCAGTTTCTCTAAAAGCTCTGCTCTGGTTTCTGTCTGACGTTTCGAGGTTTTCTGATTCCTTCGGCTTCACGTTCGTTTCCTTCTGACAGCGTTGAAATGTTGGAGGACAAACCTTCATGAAGAGAGGATTCCCATTCAGCGACTCTGCTCTCCGGATGTTCTCCACGCCGCACTGCAGGAGAAAACAAACATGTTAAGGTCGGATCCACTGGAACTGGAAGCTCGGTTCTTCTGCTGCGACTTCATGTCTGGAAACGCTGCTGCAGATTCAGTCATCCAGGTCAGAGTCTCCAAGTTTCTCTTCCATCCAGGAATCTTTTTCAATTCAAAATGTCAGAAATGGATCCGAGTTCAGGTTCAAAACAAAAACCAGGCTTAGTTGGGCTACTGGATAAAGCCTGGAACTCAACACTATTCCTGCAGTGAAGCCACCGGCCGCCATATTGGTACTCCCTAGTTAGACCGGTCCCAATGTAAACAATCTGTGCGCTGCAGCATCAAACAATGATTTTGTCATTTTCAGGGGGACTTAAGGCGTTTAAAATAAAGGTAAATTCATCACTTTGACACAGACTGGCTGTTTCAAAGCATCAGTAGATTAACTTTAACTTAGAATAAAAAAATAGATGTCACATTGCAAAGTTTTTATAACATATTAAACAAGCCATCTCAATAAAAATTAATGTGTTAATGGAGCAGAATAATACAGATGAGCCAAAAGTGCTAAACTGATGATGTAAATGTAATAAATGCTTATTGATGACATTGTTATGGTAATTATATCTAACATCTCTGATAGTGCATGCTGTGTATATATATATATATATATATATATATATATATATATATATATATATATATATATATATATATATATACACACTTCTTTTCAATATAACCTGCAATATATATCACAGCTCATTACTTTTTCAAATGAGAAACAAACCAAACTCCACTTAATAAAGAATTCCTACATTGACATTTCAGTGAATTACTTTCTATTTCCTCTACTTTCTATTATTAGACCCAATATTAATGTGTTCCAGTCAGTCTGAGATAGACTAAAGTTAGTCTGCAGACTAAACTATAGGATCCATCGGCTATAGATGGATTTATTGCTTAGTTCATCCACTGACTGGGAAATGACCTGAGGAACGTCTTCCTGCAGACAGAAAACTGCTGGTTTTAGCAGTTAAATGCTGAACAGGGAGGCATTTTGACTGCATGTCTCTGTGGGAGTGGGGAGTACCAATATGGCCGACTGTGTTTTCACTGTTTTTGTGCCATCAGCAATGCAGTGATTCCTATGGGCATGCTGAGCTGACAGAACAGGAACGTTACGCTCAGCTTTCTGCATCCAGGAGATGTTGACCCGTAAATGGAGCGGGTCGGACCTTCTGACCCAACATGTGGAAATCTGTTCCACAATCATGAGCTCAGAGCGAATACCGAATTTCTCAGGTTGGTTCTGATTTCACAGAGAAAACTGAAAATCCTGAAGAAATAATTTCTCGTTTGTTCCAAAAACCCAGAACCTGCTGGAGCAGCGAGTCTCAGGTGGAAACCTGGACTGCAGGCTGCAGCTGTGGTTCTGAGTGAGCAGAACCCAACGCCTCTCTGGGTCAAAGTTCCTGTCAGGTCCCCCCCCCGTGCGTTCAGGTGCTTTTATTTTCCAGGTCAGAACTCACCTCCTCGGCCAACACCTGGGCGTACTCGATGTCCAGCTCGTGCAGCGTCTCTATGTGGTCCGACGTGAAGGCGATGGGAACCAGCAGGATGTTCTTCTTTCCTCGCTCGCTCAGACCTTTGATCACCTCGTCCGTCTGCGGGCCGAGCCACGCCATGGGTCCCACCTGAACACCCAACACAGGAGGAGATGAAGGCGTCCTACTGGCTTAGTGCTTCTGTCAGCGTTTGGCGCCATCTTGTGGGGAACGACTAATAGAGCAGCTCTGAGAAGCAATCAGGTCACCCACCCTGGACTGCCACACCAGTCTGTAGGGGTTACAGTGTCCCAGTCGCTCCATGACCCTCTGCACTGTGGCGCCCACTTCCTGGGGATACGGATCGCCTCGGTTCACCACCTGCAGGAGAAGAGCAGCGGCGACAGGATTCATGGAGGGAGATCCAGACGGAACAACCCAGAAAGCAACGGGGACCGACAGAACCGCCCTCCTTCTAGAACCTACAGTTCCTTCTAGAACTTTTTAAACAAACTACTTCCTCCAAACTTTCATCATACTTTCCTAGAAGACCAGAAGTACTTTAGTAGTTTAACACCAGGACTCTGATCGTACTAGAACTCCCTCTGGCTGTCAGGGTGACATTTCCCCCCAATGGAACGCATGAATAGTGATGATGTCATCCACTGAAACATTGTTGTGTGAGATATAAACTTATCGTGGATATGTAAACCTTAAAACAAGTCTAATATATAATTTTAAAGGTTTTTTTTTAAAAAGGTTTTACTACACAGGTTCAAAGTTTGTAATTAATTATCCCTGAACATTTCCCGCTCCCCACCTTTTCACATTTATGACTAACATTTTTTAGAGCGGCGCTGAAGCTCCCGGCGCCGTTTAATTTGCCTCACTAAAGCTGCTCCACTGCGGCGGAGAGGCTGGTGGTCGCCACCAAACCGTTTTACCAGTTCAAGGATAAAATCTCTGCGTGAGACGGTGGCGTTCAAACAGCTCCTGAACAAAACCGAGGCGTTTCTAGCCGCCGTGTCCAGAAAATCACCTTCGCTTTTACAGAATCCTTTCTAATCATCGGATCCGACACATCCAGGCCGACCTGGTTTTGGGACCGGCTGAGGTGGGGGCGGTGCTATCCAAACCTTGAACAAAAGTTTCACCATTGTCTGATGGGTCACTGATACGTCTTTCTGTGGGTGGGCGATCATCCTCAGACTCCTTAGATAGAGTTTTCCTTAGATAGAAATAAAGTGAATAGAATAGAACTGGGCTCCATCGGGTCCATTAGGTTCTATTCTAACCCTCCAGGTTAGCTTCCCGGCAGCTTCGTCTCTAATTACAGCAAACTTTTTCCAGACTTTGTCAGAAGTTTTTCTAAAACTTTAGGGAAGTAACTAAAGCTTCAACTAAAAAAAAAAAAAAATCCACTTTATTTCAGCAGAACCATTTCCTGAAGCTGAAAGCGATCTTTTCTAGAACTATACTTACTTTTTTTTTTATAAAGGCTACATTTTAGCTTTCCAGGAAACTTTTCCAGGACCTGCAGTCATTAAAGTAGGGATGCAGGATATTGGGATTTTGGCCGATATCCGATACGCCGATATTTAAAAACTCATGTAGCCGATAACCGATATCGATACCGATGTTAAAGCTGGACAAAAATAAGTAGTCATTGAAAATAGCAGTTTTGTTATCCATTTCTGACACTTTGAAAAATAATATACTAAAATATATTTTCATATGCTGATATCAAATAGATTTTTAAAAACGCGGTATCGATCTATTTTACTTTCAAAATCTGGTGAAATTTCATCGTTCTGTTACAAACTCTCGTGATTTTTAACAAATTCTTGTGAGATTTTGTTAGTAAAATAGATCGATACCGCGTCAATATATCAACATATAAAAATATGGCAACATTTGGTGAATTTTCGGGGGATTTCGTAGCATAACGATGACATATAGCAATATTTCATTAGTAAAGAGATTGATATGGTGTTTTTAAATGGCAATATATCAGCATATGAAGATATTGGGATATTTTAATGGATCAATATTTTTTCCCTCGTCTTTAGAAGTTTTTAAGTCTGTAAAAAAGAAGTTTTTGAGGAAGAAGAAGAAGTAGTATTTTTATTTTTTTTTTAGACTTTAGAAACTCAGAAGCTGATCAAATATCGGGTTAAATATCGGTGGGGGGGCCGATGTCCGATATTCAGTTTTAAGGCCGATACCGATAGGGGGCCGATTATATCCTGCATCCCTATATTAAACCGTTATATGCCAGGTCAGAACCAGAACCTCTTTTAAAGCAAAGTTCTTATTAGCGACCGGATGGCGAGCGGTACCAGAGAGCGGACCTGCAGGGCGCCGATACTTACCGCCATGGGCAGCGAATGAGCCGAGAACAGGATGACCACATCGTCTCTCTTATCTTCAGGAAACTTCAGCAGCTCGTTCCTGATGTGTTCTGTAAAACACTGAAGGGAACAATCGGACCGTTATTCTGATCTGATCTCATCTTCTCATTTTTATGAACTCATGAGAACTTCCTAACCTCCACCAGCAGGGGGTGTGTGGGCCAGCGGTCGATGACGCTCCAACGCATCTTCGGCCGGTCCCCTCTGTTTCTATAGTAACGGTAGATGGCGTTCAGACTGCTTCCTGTGGAGGAGAAAAGCAGTTAAAGGCTCCACGCTGCGGTTTAATCGTTGCTCAAAGGTAAAACGAGGATGAGGAGGAGTTTCTGAGGCGATCTTCATCCCTGAAGCAGCGACCTGTGGTGGAGCAGCTGTACTGGGGGTACTGGGTGAACGCCACGGCCCGCTCCACCCCGTCCTTCTCCATCTCCTCGATGGCCTCCTCCGTCAGCGGGTTCACGTACCGGAAGCCGATGTAGAACTTATGAGGAGCTGAGGAAAGACCAGAACGGGTCAGAACCGGTTCCCAGCTGATCGGCATCATTCTGAAGCGGATCATCGTCCGGATCGGAGCAGAATCCTCCTGAACCCACCAGAGATCTGTTATAGCGAACAGACTCCTCACTCACCAACATTCATTAAGATTTTCCCAGCAGCCAGAAAAGCTCGTCTCATTTTAACTACTTTCCTTGATTAGTTTGGAATTACCTGCAGTGGTAAATATGGCCACATGGTGGCACTGTTTGTATTGGGAGAGGCTGTAATAACCTACGACTGGTTAGATTAGAAAAGAATTAAAACAACATTTATCTGCTATAATTTTTTTCTCCTTTGACTAAATTATTTCCTTTGGTTGTTTTTCTGATATTCTAACATTTAATCTTGTTTGTTCCTGATGTCTCCTTTCATTTGCAGAGAGCGGGCAGGTTGGTGTTTCTTCTTATTGCATTAACTTTCATTTTTGCCATCAAAATATCCATATATTTATTATTTTATTTTATTTATTTGGGCGTGCTTTGGTGCGAACGGTGTATATCCAATCCAATCCACTTTATTTATAAAGCACAATTAACAACAGAATAAGTTGGAGGCTTTGGTCCTTGACGCGGCTGACCCGGGTTCGAATCCAGCCTGCGGTCCTTTCCCACATGCCCCCCCCCCCCCCCCCCCCCCCCTTCTCTCATTCCCTCTTTCCAAAAACTCAAAAAAATAACAATAAATAAATACATTTTTGTTCCTCCAAAGGTAATAAGGCCTTGTCCTGGATTCTAATAACACTCTTGGCTTGAAATGTGGTTTTTTTCAAAGTATTAAAAGTTCATCTGGTTGATAAATCCTAGAAAATAAAATTATATTCAATCTCAATAAGGACAGATTTAAAAAAAAAAGTCACATCAAACCTCGTTTTCAAAGCAGTTTTAGTTTTTTTCTCGTTACCCATTTATACGGCAAGTTAGTGTTTTTGATCCCTTACAAATGGAGCCCCCCCCCCCCCTGTCCCTCAGTGAGTTCTAGAAGCACTAGATCTATATCCAGCCATTCAGCAAAGATCCTGCTACATGGCTGCACATCTGATTTTGGCATTTGACCAATTAGATGATTACCTACTGGAAACTAGGGTTGTCACGATACTAAACTTTTCAACTTGATACCGATACTAAGGAAAATATTCGATACACGATACCATTTTTCGATACCACAAAGATAAAAACTTCAAATTTCAACAGAAATATTTTGATTAATAATTAAAATACAATAAATAAATAAATACAATAAACAATAAGAACAACATTTTGAGGTTGTTTGCTGTGCATAGTATTAATCAAGCTTGATAAAAAACGTACAAAATTAAAATTAAGTGTAACTGTATCGATATTTTTGAAAATGAGTATTGTATCTGGATACAACGTTTCAGTATCGATACTTTTTAAAATATTGATACTTTTGACAACCCTACTGGAAACTAAGTTGAGGGAAAAAAAAGAAAAAAGGTTAAAAAGAATTTGAAACGTTAAAAAGTTAATAAGCCTCGTTAACAATTATATTTAGATTTATAAACTTAAAAATGTCAGTTCCAGTTTCAGCATTAATGCTTCTAAGGTTTTATTGGACCAAATATTGTGTTTCTTTTGCTCTCAGAGTGTTTTTCATGTATTTCTTATAGAAACACTTTTATTTTTCTTAATATATTCAGGCAAGTTGTTGTTTCTAGTTATTGAATTGACATTAATTTTACCATCAAAATATCGATTTTTTTATATTACAAAGATAATAAAGTATTTCCTGGATTCCAATAAAAATATTGGCTTGAAATTGAGATTTTTAAGGTATTTCACAGAGCGTTCTATAAAAGGTTAAACTCTGACCGCCTGGTTCTGCTCAGCAGGACTGGAAACGTTCTAGAAGCTTCTGCTGTCGGTTATCTGTGGTTCAGTCGGGCTGAGCTCTCAGGCGCTAACGGTGAGGAGCGGCCCAGGGTGTGAGCAGACACTCCTCCATTATCAGCGTTATCTGCCTGCAGCCTGTGGTGGGGGGGGGCTCTGACCTGTGTCTGGGCTGGCCTCGTCCAGCAGCTTCACCATGCCCTCCCCCTGCATGGAGGTCCAGCGTCTGATGGGAGAGCCTCCTCCGATCTTACTGTACTGCTCCTGGATCTTCGGGGTTCGCCGCTTGGCGATGAACGGGCCCAGCTTACTGCGGAGCAAAGAACATGGCCGCCGTTACTCCCGATCACGCCGAAGACCCGGCCTGCAGGAAGGGGAACCTGGGGGGGGGGGGCTCACTTCTGAACGGGGAGCTTCATCAGATCCGTGTCCATGAAGAGCCGCAGCAGGAAGTCGTGAACGTCCTCCAGCTTCTCCGGTCCGCCCATGTTCAGCATCAGGATTCCTGTTTTAGGTTTCCTGCAGAAACAGAAGAAGATGGACGATTCTGCAGGGATTTCAACCTTCAACCCATCGGCTCCTCCATCCAGCTTCTTCCTGCTGCCTTCGTGTGGTTAAAATGATCCTCTTATAAAATAGAAACGATCGACTTATTGAGTCCTTTAGTTTTAGCAGAGAAACATGTTGGATTCAAAGATCATCCTGAGCTGCTTTGGCAGGAAAGATAAAACTTCCTGGTTCATCTGCTACAGGAAGAGGAGGAAGCATCAAACGCATCGACTGACTGATAAAATCAAACCTTAAAAGTTTAAAATGTTGATAAAGCTTCATGAATACTTCTGTCCCAGCATTGTTTAAGCTTTAGACAGAACAGGTTTAAAGGTCAAAGTTGACCTCATCCCTGAAACTCGGGCTTCATAGAATCTTCCCAGTGGAAAGAACGACATGAGTGGGAGTTTACGTGCATGTTTCATGTGGGCCTTTGCCGTTTCCCATGGTTACGACGCCACACGAAGGCAGCATAGTTCCCCTTCCTGTTCCCATGCAGGCGGCTGAAGGTGCGTCTGATACCTGTTCTCCTGAGACTCCGGAGCTGCATTCTGGGCTAAAGCTGCAGCCGTGGATCTCCTCCTCACAGTCAGACCCACGCTGCTCCTGGCAACTGAAACGGAGCAGGAAGGAGAATAAAAACTGGGATCTGAACTGAGAAACTGGAAAACAAACTGATTATAAAGTCGGGATCTAAACCTGTTAGAAGCACCGGAATAAAAACCACATTCAAAGGTTTTAAAACGGCTCAGAAATGAACGATTTTACAACAACATAACTAAATTCTACAATTAAGAACAACCTGACAAATATTAGCTTTATTATTATTATTATTATTATAGAGACGAAACAACCAATCAGATTAATCAATTATTGATATAATCAACCAATATAGTAATTGATTAATCATTAACTGCTAACATTTTGCATTTAAGATAAAAACTTTCATCTGTCAATCTCCTCCATCCAGAATATATATATACACACACACACACACACACAGACACATACTCTTTCTGCTATGCATAGCGAGGACCAAGGGTTGATTTCCTTTCATATTCAGTCATTTTCCACCCATTTAGCAAATAGCTTGTGAGGTCCGGCAAAATGTCCTCACTTTGCAACAACTGGTCCTCAATTTGAATGTGAAATTAGAAAAATGGTCCTCACTCTGATGGCTAGACAGGTACACACACACACCCATATATATTAGCCTTTAACTGACAGAGCGACATGCTCATATATATATATATATATATATTTTGCATTTAAGATAAAAAAAAATAAACTTTTCCCCCTGTCAATAAGCCACTCGGGGTCCCTGAACAAGACCCTTAAATCCCCACTGCTCCCCAAGGCGATGGGTTAAATGCAGAGAGGGAATTTCTCTAATGTGAGATCAATAGAGTTCAGTTATTATTATTATCATTATTATTATATGCTCTATAATCCAGAATTCCTCCTGTGGGAAAGTTTTATTTTCACCTCATTTAATTTCATTAAAAAAATCTTGAAGGAACCTTTTGCTTTCCGATTAATTAATTAATTGAAGAAATTAATCACCCGGATTAATTAATCAAGTTTATTTGTATAGCCCTTTACAATAATACCCAAAGTGCTTTACAACAAAGCCATAAAACAATACATAACACATATAAAACATACAGATACAATTAAAAGTGCTGTAGTGCTGCAGGACATTAAAAGAGGTGCATAGAAAGGAGCGCACAGAAGGAGGACATCTAAGAGACAGTATTATGGTCAGAATTAAATGCTAATTTAAAAAAGTGGATTTTAAGCTTTTTTAAAAAAAAAGGCTGAGGTCAGTAGTGGTGCGGATGTCAGGGGGTCGTTTGTTCCACAGTCTGGGAGCAGCGACGGCAAAAGAACCATCGCCCCACTGAGTCTTGATCTAGAGACCTCTAGCAGAAGCTGACCTGAGGAGCATAAAGCTCTGCCACAATGGCGGAAAGTTAAAATCTCAGACAAGTAAGAGGAGGCAAAGCCATCGATTTGTAAAATAATACTTAGTGTCAGCCCTGTAATCAACCTGTCAGGTTTTTTTGCTGTAAAGTTTGAGCAAAAGCATTTTTTATATGAAAATATTTCCTTTATAATATATAGAAATGCGTCTTTTCTATTTATTTGATGAGAAAAAGTGAAAACAAAACGGTTTGAAAAGGTTTTCAGAGCCTAAACTTTAAGCTGGTGAAGATTCTCAGTCATCCAGTTCCAGTTGGTTTCTTTCCAGTCATTCAAAAGAGTAAAAAAAAAAAAAAAAAAAAAAAAAACATATAGAATTGAAAAAGCTTCCTGGATGAAAAGGGAAGAGTCAGAATTTTCATAAGTCAGAATTGTGTATTAAACTGAAATAATATTTTTTTTAAAATCTGTTAACTTTTTTCCCCCCAGTGGCCCTAATCCTCTTCCGTAGAATCCAGTGGATTATTCTTTGTTTTATAAACTTTTTTTAGAAGCTCATCTTTAAGGACCCTTAAAGCTGCAGTTCATTGTTCGGCCGCCGGGGGGCACTCGAAGGTTACGCAAGGTAAAAAGTGTAGTTTTGTAACAACGTGAAACATGTTAGCTGTTTACTTAGTTTCCCGCCGTGAGAACACAGTCCCGTGGCGCGTCCACGGAGCAGCTTACTGTGGCTAAATGCGGGAGGACATCTTTATGTAACGCAGACATTAAACTCAAACACAGTTAGTCTGGAAACTTCATCAAGGCGGAGGAAATAACCGGAAACAGTTTCTGTCCGAGGAGAGAGCGGCGGCTTTAAACGTCGCCGTTGGACCAGTTTAAACACAACAAGTGATCTAGAATGAGAGCACAGATTAATATTGACTCTTTAAAATGTTAAATAACGAGCAGCGGGTTTATTAATGTGTCGCTAACGCAGAAAGAGACGCTTAAATGTTAAAGATAATGTGTTACTCTGAAATCCTTCCGGCAGGAAATAGTTTCACCTCCTGTTAGCTTGATGCTTTCACATGTAACGCCAATGTCAGGGAAAAACAGCAGCTAGCTAAATTAAAACAACAATAATCACAGATATTTCATCATGTCATCATATTAAACCACAGATAGTAAAATATTTCCGAACACAGACTGGCCTTGGTTCTGATCAAACCGGGTTTTTGGTTCCGAACACTCAGAGACTCACAGTGAAAGAAGCGACCGGCGCTGCCTAAAGCGGCCATCCCCGCTTCACGTCCCGTTTCCCTGATTAAAAGCCCCTCGGGTGACTTCACGCCTTCACTGTCAGCTCCCACGCGTGTCCACAGCCCACTGGAGCGGTTTATCGCAGGTCAGCGCTGGTTGAAAGCCGGATTCCTTCAGCTGTCCCGGCTGAAGGCACGAACTTCCGGCAAGTTAAACGCCACAACCACCAGACTTCCGGTTAGAGACCGAGAAAATAAAAGCGTTTTGTAGCGTAACAATAATTATTTTAGCTTCTGATTTATTTCTTGATTGTGTTCGATTTTATTGATTATAATTGTTATAATTATCATTATAATTTATAATAATAATTATTAAATATTTATCTGACCGAGAAAATGCAAACAAACATGGTGACAAAACAAATCACTGAAGTGCTGCATGTATGAAACCAATTCTCGCTGTTGAACTCTTGGTTTAACTTTTTTTTTATCAAAAAAGATTTACATATTATATTACTTTCATTCACTGTTAAACTAGCATATCTGACACAGTTGCTGCTTATTTGTAGTTTAGTTCTAATTTTGCACAGTTTCTACCTTATTCAGTTTAATAACCTGCTGCTGTCATTTTGCACATCTCTGATGTTGCTGCTATTTTCAAATATCCATTACTGTAAAAATGTCCATAGCTGGATATTTGTTATTTATTCTCCAAGTGCACAGTTATATACTGCTAAAACACTTCACCATACAGTATTTCATTGTTTATCTTTTAACTCTTGGCTATTATTTTATTCTAATACATTTTTCTAAGCTCCATATTTGTGCAACCATTTTTTTCCTATAATCTTTTTGCTGCTGTAAAAACCAGAATTTCCCCATTTTGGGACAATAAAGGCATATTCTATTCCAATCTATTCTATTTAGAGCCCAAAAAGGCCATATGTCCAAATCCGGACAGGTATATATATATATATATATATATATATATATATATATATATATATATATATATATATATATATATATATATATATATATATATATATATATAAAAAAATTCAATCAACAGATCAAATTTTGTTGGAGAAAGTAATTATTATCTGTGATGTTCTGCAGCTTTTATCCTTCTGTTGTAGCAACAAACGCTGAAACACATAGAATCTATTAGACTAAACTTGTAATAATAACCATTACAACAAAAATAAGAAAAAATAAGTATTAAATAAAACCTGATTTAAAAGGTGGAGTAGTTTAACGTAAAATCAGAAGGTTTGCTTCTTGGGGAAACTGTTAGATTTCTGGTGGGACCCTCAGGTCCTCAGCTTTGGTTATTATCAGTAATGGAAAAGTGTCATGCTTTTAATGTGAATTTCAGTGTTTAGTCATTTCCGGTTAAATGTTTTTTTTTTGGGCTTGTTGTAGTTGCGTCAGATGTACGTTTACCTCCGTTACTCTAACCACGCCCATCCTGCTGGGCACGCCCATCTGAGAGAATTTGACGCAAGAAGGTTTTTAAAAAGTTTTTACAAAGATCAGGATTAAAACTTTTAAGTTCTGTTTTCCTGATGGAATCCCTGCTTTTATTTTGAAACAGAATCTAACAAGATCACGTTAAGTTTGGATTTTCTCAAAGACCCAGGAGTACTAAAGTTATATGATAGATGTTTATATCATAAAAAATGACACCAATACAAACGGAAGTTTGTAAAATAGAACAGAAAATAAAAGTCTTCTGTACTAATAATTTGGAAAATCTAATCTGTATAGTTAGGGCAATAATTAAAATGTTTCCTGAGTTTTCTGTTCAGCTCTGCTGCGATAATCTAGTTTAACTCATTTGTTCCTCCAGTGCTGCTGAAGGAGTTTCTCTAATGTTCCAACAGGTAAAAGTTTGGATTTAACTGAATGTTTCTGTTGTCCTAAAGGGCCTTCGTATGGGAGCCCGTTTCCGCCAAATTAAATAAAAAAAATGCCCCCCAAAAAAGTCATAATTATGAGATACAAAGTCATATTTTCGACTTTCATAGTCATAGTTATGAGACTATTTGGTATTTTTTTTACTTTCATGTTGCGGAAACGGGCTTCCATACATTTTTCTTCAGAAGGAAGCTGTTTTTAATGCATTTGCTGGAATTGCCCACATTTCTTTCTTCTTTTCAGTCTCTTCCTCTTCAGGTTGAGGCTTAAAGAGAACAAAAATAAACCCAAGAAGGAAGTTCTCTCATGAGACCCTGTTTCTGCTCAGCAGGACTTTCAAGAACCTGTTTCCTTAATCAGCTTTCAGTGCAACAGCAGCATCTAGTGGCCGTTAGAGGAACTGCAGCTGACCGTTTGGCCCAACGGCACAGGAAACTTCAACACTGATGTTATCATTCAGAAGAAAACCTCATTCTTTCCCTCCCAGAATGGTTTTTTTGTTTGTTGCTTTTTTAAAACTCAAATATAATATTTAAAGCAGAGAAGTCCAGATGGATTATTTTGAGTCCTACAGAGACGTTTTAATTCTGGTCTGCCTCAGGAAACCGCCTGCCTCAAACACACGGCAAATGTCTTTAGAGCAACTATTTCTGACAAGTTAATTTCTAACAGGAATGTTGAAAAAAAAAAAACACCAATTATTCTACATCAACGTCTTCTGTTGGATAATCTTCAGGAAAGAAATTTAAAAAGTTTAATTTATTAGGAGAAACGTGATCCCAACCAGCCAGGGATGAAAATGACTCCTTCAACCTAACTTTTTCACATCAGTTTCAGCAGCTAAATCTGGGCCTGATCACCACCAGACCTGCAGAATCATGACTTGATCTAAACAGAACCTCCATGACATCATGAAGTAGGCTAACTCTGATTCAACACAGTCTATTTCTATAGCACCAATTCACAACAAATCATCTAAAGGTCCTTTTCTAGAGACAATACGAGCAGATCATTTAATCAGATTGGTTCAAAGTTTTCTAAGGAAAACCATCTGATTGCATAAAAGATCTGAAAACATAAGAACACATGAGACACAAACTAACTCATGCCTCCCATTCTATAAGTAGAATTTTCAATTCAGTTTATTTCTATAGCGCCGATTCACATCATGTCATCTCAAGGCACTTGACTCCTCGACCCTTCAGCAATCCCTCACACTAAGTATGCCTGTTTTTGAAAATGTGCTTCTTCCACCTTAGTGGGTAATTAATAGGGGGACACCGTTTGATGGTTTCTGGCTGATGACAGATCTTTAAACATCCTGACATGCTGATTCTGACCTTTGAACAATTATAAATTAAGTTTTACTGAAGAACAAAATGCTTTGATATTAAATGAAGAGTCTAACAGGGATTTTGGGATGTTTGCAGAGACACATAAGGACTCGTACTCGTCGCCTTTTGTTTATCAGGCACCGGGTCTGGGGGGGGAATCGGTCTCAGCAGAGACTCCTGGACTCATCCTCCACCTCCTCTGGGGACCGAGGGGTGGATTCTGCTCCATTATTGTTGCAAAGAACATTTTTTAATAAATGGGAATAAAATAAAATGTTGTTTATACTCTTCACTCATTTCTTAGAAGGCTACTTTTCACTTTGACTTAAGCAGAAACACGTTGAAGACTTGCTACTATTGAGAACCCAGCTGCTGTTTTAGCCGCTGTTGTCGCCCCCTGGTGGAAAAACACCCTCAGCGCAGAGCTGACCTCCAGGACCTCTTTGAAGATGACGTAGCATAAACCCTTTATGCAAGAGCTTCATGAAACTTGCAGCTTCTGGCCTGGTCTGGATTTATCTGCTTGTTGTTTTAACTGTTTCTGTTCTATCAATCAGCTCATCGTTTTAAACATCTTTAAACCCATTCATTCTTCTATAAAGAGTCTTTTGAAAGTAACAGGCTCTTCTAAATGAATCATGAGATAAGTTTTCTGGGAAAACAGCATCAATTATTCATCAGATTAATACCGGATGTTTTCATCTTTCTGATATGAGCGTTTCAGTCTCAAACAGCCGATCAGCCTCGTTAGATTTTATCAACTATGCAGCAAATTAAATAGACACCTTAGGATTAAATAGACACCTTAGGACACGGCGAGCCGTTAGTAACCCCCCCAGCAGATTAGAAGAGGAAACCACAGTGACAGTGGGAACTTGGTAATCTGCTGGCCATCGGTTTGCAGGAGTTACAGTCACTAAAGAGGCCTCATGAATTCATTATTATTAAAGTTTATTCAGTTAGAAAACTTCAACACATCTTGTTCCCACCAGGCCCAAAAATGGCCGCAGTAGATCACAGCGGGATGCAGCTGATAACAGCAGCATGTAGCAGGTCACAGCAGGAGAAAGCAGATTGGGGTAGACCACAGTAGCCCACTGCAGGTCGCAGGAGGTCGCAGCACACCACTGCAGGTCGCAGCAGGTCGCAGCACACCACTGCAGGTCGCAGCAGACCACTACAGGTCGCAGCAGACCACTACAGGTCGCAGCAGGTCGCAGCACACCACTGCAGGTCGCAGCAGACCACTACATGTCGCAGCAGACCACTACAGGTCGCAGCAGACCACTACAGGTCGCAGCAGGTCGCAGCACACCACTGCAGGTCGCAGCATACCACTGCAGGTCGCAGCAGACCACTACAGGTCGCAGCAGACCACTACAGGTCGCAGCAGGTCGCAGCACACCACTGCAGGTCGCAGCAGACCACTACAGGTCGCAGCAGACCACTACAGGTCGCAGCAGACCACTACAGGTCGCAGCAGGTCGCAGCACACCACTGCAGGTCGCAGCATACCACTGCAGGTCGCAGCAGACCACTACAGGTCGCAGGAGGCAGCAGCATACCACTGCAGATCGCAGCAAACCACTGCAGGTCGCAGCAAACCACTGCAGGTCGCAGCTAACCACTGCAGGTCGCAGCTAACCACTGCAGGTCACAGGAGGCAGCAGCACAACACTGCAGGTCGCAGCAAACCACTGCAGGTCGCAGGAGGCAGCAGCACAACACTGCAGGTCGCAGCTAACCACGCAGGTCGCAGCAAACCACTGCAGGTCGCAGCTAACCACTGCAGGCCGCAGCTAACCACTGCAGACCGCAGCTAACCACTGCAGGCCGCAGCTAACCACTGCAGGTCGCAGGAGGCAGCAGCACAACACTGCAGGTCGCAGCAAACCACTGCAGGCCGCAGCAAACCACTGCAGGCCGCAGCTAACCACTGCAGGCCGCAGCTAACCACTGCAGGCCGCAGCTAACCACTGCAGGCCGCAGCTAACCACTGCAGGCCGCAGCAAACCACTGCAGGCCGCAGCAAACCACTGCAGGTCGCAGCTAACCACGCAGGTCGCAGCTAACCACTGCAGGCCGCAGCTAACCACTGCAGAACGCAGCTAACCACTGCAGGCCGCAGCTAACCACTGCAGGTCGCAGGAGGCAGCAGCACAACACTGCAGATCGCAGCAAACCGCTGCAGGTCGCAGCAAACCACTGCAGGCCGCAGCAAACCATTGCAGGCCGCAGCAAACCACTGCAGGCCACAGCTAACCACTGCAGGCCACAGCTAACCACTGCAGGTCGCAGCATACCACTGCAGGCCGCAGCTAACCACTGCAGGTCGCAGCATACCACTGCAGGTCGCAGCATACCACTGCAGATCGCAGCATACCACTGCAGATCGCAGCAAACCACTGCAGGCCGCAGCTAACCACTGCAGGTCGCAGCATACCACTGCAGGTCGCAGCAAACCACTGCAGGCCGCAGCTAACCACTGCAGGCCGCAGCTAACCACTGCAGGCCGCAGCTAACCACTGCAGGCCGCAGCTAACCACTGCAGGTCGCATGAGGCCGCAGCATACCACTGCAGATCGCAGCAAACCACTGCAGGTCGCAGAAGGCAGCAGCACAACACTGCAGGTCGCATGAGGCCGCAGCACACCACTGCAGATCGCAGCAAACCGCTGCAGGTCGCAGCAAACCGCTGCAGGTTGCAGCAAACCACTGCAGGCCGCAGCTAACCACTGCAGGCCGCAGCTAACCACTGCAGGTCGCAGCATACCACTGCAGATCGCAGCAAACCACTGCAGGTCGCAGAAGGCAGCAGCACACCACTGCAGGTTGCAGCTAACCACTGCAGGTTGCAGCTAACCACTGCAGGTCGCAGCTAACCACTGCAGGTCGCAGCAAACCACTGCAGGTTGCAGCAAACCACTGCAGGTTGCAGCTAACCACTGCAGGTCGCAGCAAACCACTGCAGGTCGCAGCATACCACTGCAGATCGCAGCAAACCACTGCAGGTCGCAGAAGGCAGCAGCAAACCACTGCAGGTTGCAGCTAACCACTGCAGGTCGCAGCTAACCACTGCAGGTTGCAGCAAACCACTGCAGGCCGCAGCTAACCACTGCAGGCCGCAGCTAACCACTGCAGGTCGCAGCATACCACTGCAGATCGCAGCAAACCACTGCAGGTCGCAGAAGGCAGCAGCAAACCACTGCAGGTTGCAGCTAACCACTGCAGGTTGCAGCTAACCACTGCAGGTCGCAGCTAACCACTGCAGGTCGCAGCAAACCACTGCAGGTTGCAGCAAACCACTGCAGGCCGCAGCTAACCACTGCAGGTCGCAGCAAACCACTGCAGGTTGCAGCAAACCACTGCAGGCCGCAGCTAACCACTGCAGGTCGCAGCTAACCACTGCAGGTCGCAGGAGGCCGCAGCTAACCACTGCAGGCCGCAGCTAACCACTGCAGGTCGCAGCAAACCACTGCAGGTCGCAGCAAACCACTGCAGGCCGCAGTAGACCAACTGGGTTTGCTAACTTGAGTCGTTTATCTTTCTGTCTGACATCTTTTTCTGTGTGGAAAGGGGTCTGCTGCCTTCTTTCTGCTATAATTCACCTGTTGCATAGCTTTGTATCCATCTGGGCAGATCTGAACTGTGAGTTTAATCAACATCAAATCAAACCAGTGACATGTCGTCGTCACTGGAGGTCACGGTGTGGTGCTGCAGGAAACGACACGTTCATCTTGTTTGTATTGTTTCTTTAGACGCTGCAGGCACGTCATCAAAAACAATCTTTTATTCAAAAAATTTGAGGTAAAATTGAAAAAATTACCATCAATTCAACATATTTCTGAGCAGCGCAGGTTTGGTTGCTGCCTTTTTAAAGGACACTTTTATTTCAGGTACAAAACCTGAAACTTAGAAATAGATCGATCTGAATCTGAGACGCAGACTGGATTCTGATCTTCCTGTTTTTTGTTGTTGGCGGTTTTACAGAAACTGTTTGCAGTTTATTTGAGCAGTCAGTCCATCCGAGTCCCCGTCTTTATGAAAATATCTCTAATTACTGAAAACGAGCGGCTGGGTCGGTCCGCCCAGCACAGCAAGCGCGGCCCGTCTGAGCGGCGCTGAGGCAGATGTGTTGGTTCTGGACGGGTTGCAGAACATCAGTCGTCGATGAACGTCAGGCGGCCCGGTCCCTCGTTCCTCATCCAGCGGCGGGTACCTCTTCATCTTCGGGTCGGTCGCCAGTTTTGCCTTCATCTCTTCTTCTCTCTCCTTCCTGTAAACCTGAAAGACGAACCAGGAGAGTTTCAGCTGAGTGACTGAAAGTGGGGACAGAGCTAGACTTTCTAGAAGCGCCACAGAAACTGACTGAAACACCTTGGAACTGATCTGGGCTGCAGAACCACATCTTCTGAGTTATTTGACTTTTAAAGGTTTTTAAACGATCAAAATAATTATAAATCCTACTTAAAAATTAGAAAAACATATTTCTTTTTGGAAAGACATCCATCTTGCAGAGTTTAGGGCCCTGTTGCCGATTTATCCAGCGTCTGCCTGACATCCCAGAGTCTCCTAAAACTCTGGCAAACGCAGAAATTTTCTATGTATTTTTTCTATTTTGGGCGTATGCATAGAGCATTCATAACGAGTCCAAAACTTATGTTGAACGACAGCCTAACTGATGCATAAGGCACGGCAGCGTAATGAGAAACCAGTTAAAGCTGCTCCCCTCAGGAGCAGCGGTGTTTATGACCCATGTGGTCATAATAATGTTGTTCTTGCTGCAGATGTTAATGAATAAACATTCTCATTAGTGAGCGGACCTCTACCAGCGCTCCAGGTCAGGCCTCCTCGCCTCTGCTTCCTCTCTTTCTGCCTAATCTTCTTCCTTCTAAGAAGTGTGATGTCAGCTTTGACATTAGCTGCATCTTACAGACACTTCAACAAACACCTGCATGAAATAAGACGGATTACTTTCCCCTCGTTCAATAATGATGTTCTGATACTGTCTAGCATCTCTGCACATTTACAGAGGAAATTACAATTACAAGCTTTGGATATTAATAACTAAAAAAAACTGAATTATGTTTAATCAGAACAAAAGATGAGTTCATGTTGAAAACAACAAACTCCATTAGAAACCAGCTATGCCTACAGTCTGTATTCAGGGGTGGATTTCTATTAGGGATGGAACGGTTTCTGAAAACCGTCCGAATCGTTCGGTTCGACTGTCTCGGTTCGGTTCGCGTGTGTTGCGTTCGGTTCATGCGCTGCTCCTTTTTCTCATAGGCGAAGCGTTTACACTCCAGAGCAGAAGGTGGCGGTACTGCGACCAAAGCCAACCACCAGTAGTAAACAAGAAGAAGAAGAAGCGAAGCAGCTTAGCCGGGTGTAACAGAAAAAAATCAGTTGTTGTGGAGAATTGTGTGGGTATGGCGAGTGGGAAAGAACAGGAGTTGGAAGACGCGCCAGCAGCACTTTATAGGTCTGCTGTATGGGACCACTTTGCATTTAGAGTGACCTACGATGACGGCGGGAAGAAAGCTGTGGATAAAAGTGCAACAGTGTGCAAGCATTGTGCAACACGTTTTGTTTATGCTAACAGCAACACGACCAACATGTCAGGCCAACCCCGAAATCCCTCATACTCCGTCAGCGCTCCGCCCCGCTGCGCTGCAGACCGGCTGCTCAAAGCAAAGCCTACAGCCTCCACTGTGGCTCCCGTCGCTCCGCTCTGAGTTCCTTGGAGATGGTAGAGGGCATGCGCCAGATGATTAAATTTAAAGCAGCAAAACATGCGGAAAATTATCCAGGGTTTCCGCGGATCTTTAAAAATAATAACAATTCATTAATTTGTTTGGATTTTTTCATACATTTTTATGGGATTTCGGTGTAACAATCAACATATACCGAACCGAACACCGTGACCAGAAACCGTGAACCGAACCGTGGATTTTGTGAACCGTTCCACCCCTAGTATCCAGGGGTGGATTTCTATCTCCTTGAAGAAGGAGTGAACTGAGCCTGGTTCTGCTGGAGGTTTCTTCCTGTTCAAAGGGAGTTTTTCCTCTCCACTGTCGCTACAAGCATGCTTAGTGTGAGGGATTGCTGAAGAGTCAATGAGTCGATGCAATCAGCTGGTTTTCCTTAAATAGAAAACTTTGAATCAATCTGACTGGATGATCTGGTGAACTGGAAAGTGACCTGAGATGACATGATGTGGATTGGAGCTGTAGAAATAAACTGAATAGAATTGAAACAGTTCTAGAGTCTAATGGACTCTTTGTCAGTAATTATTTTTAAAAGAACATTTTCTGCTAAGAACATTTTAAGCAATAAGGTCAGTAAGGAGTCAGAACCAGAAGGAGCGTCTTTACCTCGAAGTTCTCTTTGATCCAGAGCCGTTTCTCCAGGAACGTCTGTTTGGCGTTTTCCTCCAGTCCGTCAAACTGAGCCTCCGACATCTTCATGTTCTTCCTGATGAATTCACAGCACAGAGTCAGAGGCGGACAGCACCTAGCGGCCCCCGCCGGCCCCATCCCCCCACTGACCTGATGAGGTAGAGCTTCTCCTCCTCTCCGTACTCCTCCCTGCAGACGGTGAAGCGGTACACCCAGCTGACGTACCACGCCACGTAGCGGCTCAGGTAGTACGGAAACAGCACCATCTGGCACAGCAGGATGTCCGTCAGCCTCGGCTTCTGGTAGCCGCCCTTGATGTCGATCTTGTTCTTGATGATGTCGCGGATCACCTCCTCCTCCTGCTCCCGGATCTCCTCCTTGGAGCGTCGGTTCTTGCCCTTCTCCTTGGTGCGGCTGAGGAGGCCCTGCTGTTTGGCGATCTCTGTAGCCTGGATGCGGTACTTGGGGACGGTTACCAGGTAGTTGATGGCCTTGTTGTAGCTGCTGCACCAGCTGACGTACTAGAGAACAAACAGAACGTATCGGTTCAGTTTTCTGAATTGCTGCTGGTTCTACCTTAGAAGATACTACGGTAAACTGTTAAAGTTCTGACCTTCAGTTCTCCAGGCTGGACCGATTCCCTGGAGGTTTTTTCCCCCCTTTTAGTTCAGAACCAGACTAATCTTGTTCATCCATGTGGATCAAAAGCTCCTCCCAGCAGCCTGACAGTAAAGGAGCGTTCCCATCCAACCGAATCGTCTCATTTCCATGTCATCTCTGTGTAGAAGCATGTTCAGGAGCGACTAAGGTCTGGTTATTACTCGACACTTTACAGTCGTAGGGAAGCGGCCGTTCCAATCGTTGCATTTCCGAATTCTCCCAGTGGAGCCTGACTTTACACGAGTGAATAAAGTGAATCTGATTGGTCGATTATCAAGGGGATTGTTGTGGCGGAAGGTTTGCAAGCAAGTTTGGTTGTGTCCGGTTTGTAGGAAGCATCTTGCTAACCAGTTAGCAATTTAGCAGTAGCAGGTTCCCAATGGGAAATTCCATTGGGACCAAGTAGCACTAAATTGGTGACTTAGAAACGACGCTGTCAAGGAACGCTATGGACAGCGGAAACATGCAAGAGGAGGAGTGACCCAGTCGACCATAGAATCTTTAAACCCAGCGGCCTAAACTTAGCTTTAACTGACGGGTTTGGGTCAGAAGCAGGAGCTGTTAATCCCACCGATAATGATGGAATTAGGAGATTATTCTGAACCAAAGCATCTTTCTCTTAACCTGACTCCGCCAGATGGATTTGCTCCGCATATCCATCTGGAAACCTTCCGTTGAAGTAATTTTGGGAAGGGGCGAAAATACTGGTTAGCTGATTGGCCTATGTTGGTGATAGACGGGCCAAATAAACCAATCAGATCAACGAAGCATATGACGCACTAACAGAGCGACGACGAAGAGGAGCCAATTGATAGATCAAACTCTTGCTGAAACCAGTGGGGAGAAGAGCAAAAACATCTTTTCCTCTGAGAAAAGCCTCCAGAGCAGTGTTTTGCTCTTCTTTCAGTGAAGAAATACTCTGTAATTCCCATAAAACTTGCTCGATAGCCACGCTAAGGCTAGTTTCATCGGCTGAAGCCGCCATGTTCTTTAGACTGAACTGTTGCGCTTCTCGTTGCGTCACACCTCAACCCGCCTCAAAGCCAACGCTGATTGGACGTTCGTTTGGTGAACGGCTCCAAATTTTCTTTAACGGAGAGTCTCCAGACTGATTAGCGAGTGAAACCTTGAAAGCTCGCGAGATCAGGATGGTCTCACGAGGCTAACTTTCTCTAACCTTTACCTCAGGGTTCATGAACTCAACTCACCCTGTAGGAGCATTCACAGACTGAAATAAAGGGTAGGAGTTTTCTGTTTTTATGAGAATGATCAGCAGGATGGTAATGAAAAAAAAAAAAAAAAATCTGTTTTTTAGAACCTGCAGAGGATCAGGGTCGTCTACAAGAACTGGACAGGGAGCCGATGTCAAGAGAAACCTTCAGGACATCCTGAAGAGCATCTAGACCAGAGGGAATCTAAAGCCCTGCTGAGTGAACCGGAACTGAACGCTGAGATCTAGGGATGCAGGATATTGGGATTTTGGCCGATATCCGATATGCCGATATTTTAAAACTCATGTAGCCGATAACCGATATCGATACCGATGTTAAAGCTGGACAAAAATAAGTAGTCATTGAAAATAGCAGTTTTGTTATCCATTTCTGACACTTTGAAAAATAATATACTCAAATATATTTTCATATGCTGATATCAAAGAGGTTTTTAAAAACGCGGTATCGATCTATTTTACTTTCAAAATCTCGTGAAATTTCATCGTTCTGTTACAAACTCTCGTGATATTTTGCAAATGCTTGTGAGATTTTGTTAGTAAAATAGATCGATACTGCGTCAATATATCAACATATAAAAATATGGCAACATTTGGTGAATTTTCGGGGGATTTCGTAGCATAACGATGACATATAGCAATATTTCATTAGTAAAAGAGATTGATATGGTGTTTTTAAATGGCAATATATCAGCATATGAAGATATTGGGATATTTTAATGGATCAATATTTTTTCCCTCGTCTTTAGAAGTTTTTAAGTCTGTAAAAAAGAAGTTTTTGAGGAAGAAGAAGTAGTATTTTTATTTTTTTTGACTTTAGAAACTCAGAAGCTGATCAAATATCGGGTTAAATATCGGTGGGGTGGCCGATGTCCGATATTCAGTTTTCAGGCCGATACCGATAGGGGGCCGATTATATCGTGCATCCCTACTGAGATCCTAACCTGGACGGCAGAGATGGCGCAGATGGTGACGAGGATGACGATCCTGACGTCCACTTTGGGGGCGAGCCGTCTGCGGTAGTAGGCGTAGTAGTGCTGGTAGTACTCCTCAGGATTATCCAGCATGTAGTCGTAGTCACGCCGCGTTTCCTCATCCTGTGGAGACGCCAAACAGAGATGATGTAAACAAGGAGGCGATGAAGAGGAAAACATTGTGTTTAATTGTAAAGGAAAAGTCGCTCATATTCAGAATCCAAACTTCTGAAAGTTCTTTAAATCTGAAATGATTCCATCCTGTTCAATAAATGATCAGTGTTTTGGACTGTGGGAGGAAGCTGGAGTACCCGGAGAGAACCCACGCATGCACAGGGAGAACATGCAAACTCCATGCAGAAAGACCTTCTTGCTGCAAGTCAGCAGAGCTGTCCACTGCCCACTGAGCATCTATTGTGAGATCAATAAAGTTCTATTTCTGATTTTTATCGAAGCAACATTGAGGTTATTGAATGTTGCTTCTATAACCTGAAGCAACATTCATCCTACAGACAGACAGACAGACAGAACACCACTGCTGGTTCTGGACCGGGCAGGGTTCGGTTCCGGACCTTTAACGTCTCATAAGCCGTTGCGATCAGCAGGAACTTCGTGTGAGCGCTCTCCTCATCTCCGGGATCTTCGGGTCGGTATCGGTCCGGGTGGTACCGGCGGGCCAGCTGTCTGTAAGCCCGGGCGATCTCCGCCTTAGAGGCCTCCCTGTTGACTCCCAGCACATCGTAGCAGACCTCCGTCCCGCAGTAAAGCCCCTCCAGCAGCGCCGTGGCGGCGGGCAGCGAGGACGCGGACAGCAGGAGCACCGCGAGCCGCCAGAGGCAGCTCCAGCCGCCGCCGCCGCGGCTCCGCTCCCTGAACACATCCATTCCTGCCCGCTGCTGCTGCTGCTGCTGCTCCGACACGCAGCTCCAGGGGCCGTCGCACACTGCTTACGTCACATCCCTGCCGAAACAGGAAGTGTACGCCGATAATATTATTATTATTATTATTATTATGTATTTATGTTATTCTCCTCCTGGATTCTTATTGTTTTACTTTAATTTTTGTATTTTTATATGTATGTTTAGTAACTTGTAACTAGTAACTTTAGTAACTAGTAACTTGTAAAATACAAAAGATTGTTTACATTGACAAGTGCTTTGTATTGATAAAGTTTTCAGAACATAAAAAACAAAAAAAAACTTCCTTGTTTATAATATGCTGATGGAGATTCCCAGTCATCCAGGTCATAGTCATTCCGTAAAAAATTCAAAAAATATCCACTGGACTTGGTTTCCAAGATTTGTTTATAATCCTCTGAGTTTATAAATATTCCACTCTGTCTAACTGGTTCGGTCTGGTCCAGTAGAACTGTCTGATACCAACGCTGCAGTTTAAAGCAAACAAAATGCAGCGTGTTAGACACTGCTTTAAATAGACGATCTCAGATTTCACTGCTAAATGACTTTACATTCTGTTCTGTTGCACCACCTGCTGGCCAAACTAAGAACAGCTGAGACTGAAATTAAATCATAAGAAGATGCAGATTTCCCTTAGAATCTTAGAAACTGATGTAAACATTTCCTCTTTTATTAACTAAATAAATTAAATATCAATATTAATAAAATATCAACGAAGCTCCATCCATCCATCAGTCCGTCCATCCATCCATCCATCCATCCATCCATCCATCCATCCATCCATCCATCCATCCATCCATCCATCTGGCCATCCAACTGTCCCTCCATCCATCCATCTGGCCATCCATCCATCCATCTGGCCATCCATCCATCCATCCATCCATCCATCCATCCATCCATCCATCCATCCATCCATCCATCCATCCATCATCCATCCGTCCGTCCGTCCGTCCATCCTGATTTCTAGTAGCTTCTATACCAATACCTCAAAGTTGAAACAAATGTGCCAGAATTTTTCAGCCTTCGTAAAGAGCTTAATCCCTGGGGTTAATGTGATTCAACAGTCATGAAAACAGATTTTAGAGCAAGTTAGTGCCCTGTAGTTCTAAAGTCAATATTTTATTACATAGATGCCTGTAGTTTACTTGGACAGCTCCTATTGTCGCTGCGTACGTACCTCTGTTTCTGTCCCACAGACTACATTGCAGATTAGAATATTGCGAATAGAATATTTTCAATTTAAACACAGATATGAAATAATATAATATAACCTACAGTAACTTAAATTATATAATTGTACTAAGCAGGTTCAGACTGGCAATCTGGGATACCGGGCATTTGCCTGGTGGGCCGGTCCTAATTTCAGCATGTGAGGGCCGGCCCTCATTAAATCATACCCGCCCCAACACTTACTCTCCGGCCGACGTTTCCTGTCTCACGCGCATTGTTGGAAGGTTGGGATGTTTCCCAATCTGGCAGTTTAGAATGGCCGTCTATGGGTAATTGGGCAAAATTTCGTTTACCTGTCTTTAAATGTCCAGCAGGTGTCAGCATTCTGTGAGACAGTATCAACACAGCATCAATACAGTTTGGCTTCATAATGCCTCATTTACCATCACTACTCAATACTCTGCATTGTAATAGCCCTCTGTCTCACTTCTTCCTCAGATAAATTAGCCGTACTATGCACTTTAGCAAAAGTTCTGGCTAAGAGCTTTGCTTCATCTACATTCCCTGACATTAATGCTTCTTCATCTCTTCATTTTGAAAATCCAAATTAATTCCTATTCCCATTCATTTTTTAAATTGTACTCTACCTAATGGTGTAGTTCTTCCAAATGACTCACAGTATCTATTCCAACATACTTTCTTTACCCTTCAATTACTCTTAAAACAAATCTCAGCAAACACTGAGTGAGTTAATTTCTTCTTTTTCTTCTTCTTCTTTTCTATCATGGCGGATCGCAAGCAACTTTAAGGTGTATACCACCACCTACTGTTCAGGACTGTGTAGCAACATTGTTTAAATTCTATTTTTTAGTTTTGTATTCTGAAGATAAATAAATAATGCTTTCCTTAATCTATAAATATCCTTTATATTTCCTTTATTTCCCAATAATCCTTTAAGACTCCATTCTTGGCCTGTCCTTTCAATTAATCTTCTCAATTTCTTCCTTTCAGGTTCATATGTTTTACAGTTCATCAATAGGTGTTCTATATTTTCTATCTCTCCACATCCTTCACATTTATCATTATTTTTCCTCCCTATTAAATATAAATTGTCATTTAAATAAGTATGACCTACTCTTAATCTGATCATTATTATTTCTTCCCTTCGGTTTCTCTCATTAATATTTCTATTTAATACTGACTTTTGTACTTTATATAACCTTCTTCCTTTTTTTATCTTCATTCCACCTTTTTTGCCATTTTTCAATTTCTTTCCTCTTAATAAATGATTTTCCTTCACCTTTCCCTAAAGGAATTATAATTGTTATTGCCTGCTCTAAAGCCCTTTTTGCTAATTTGTCTGCCTTTTCATTTCCTTTTATCCCTTCATGTGCTGGAACCCAACAAAACCAAACATCAATGCCACCCCTGTATAATCTAAATAAACTGTGCTGAATTTCTAATACTAAATCTTTCCTATTATTTCCTTCTCCCTGAATACTTTCTAAAACTGCTTTGGAATCCATGCATACCACCAACCTGTCTGCTCTGACCTCCTCCACCCATTGGAAACTCAGTATAACTGCCACCATCTCTGCTGTGAAAACAGATAGTTGATCTGAAATTCTTTTAGAAATGTGTATTTTGAACTCTGGTACATATATTTCTATTCCCACACACCCTTTTAAATTCTTAGAACCATCTGAATATATTTTAAGGTAATTATAATATGAGTTTCTTTAATATATATCAGTCTGTATCACTATTTCATTTAAATTCCAATAATTTTTAATTTTAATAAGTCTCATGTCTACATTTATCCCAGGAAATAGCCATGGAGGAATAACACTAATTGGATTAAACTGTGCTATTTCCTTATCCTCTAATCCAAACTCTTTAATCAAGTTGCTTATAACCCATCCAAATCAATTATTATGGAACTTTGAATATTCCCAACAAGTTTGTAGAATTGTTGAAGTTACATTTTCATCCATACTACTTTTAATTTTCATCCAATATACTAAGAGTTTAGTTTCTTGGGAGCAGAATCAATTAAGAATTGATGATCTGCAGCTGTGGAGCCTGCAGAGAACTCTATTTAAACCTTAGGTCTGGTTTGTAACTTCAGTTGTTGCTGGAATCATGGGAGGTGTCTGGATCCTGGTGTTTTGTCCTCTGATGTTTCTGCTCCATGGTTTGTAGTTTTCTCTTATGTTTGCTTTAAGGTTATTAAATCTTAACTTAATAAATCTGTTACCATGGTAAAAATTTATTTTGAAATATTTATGACTATTTATGGTAAAAAAAAAGTTGAGTTAATTTGTGTATGTTCTCTAAATTTTCAAGTATAAATTTCAAACTTTAGTTTTCTTCAATTCACAAATGGTTAAGTGCCACCTTTTTTGTGTATAATTTGGGTGTTGATTACCTTTAACTTAATGTGGCATTTCAAAAGCTTATGTTCTTGTGGGGTCTATGCTGTAGTTGAAGGGCTCTTCAGTAAATCTTTGATTTATCCACAGGGTCATGCTTTCCAGTTGATAAAAATGAAGCGCATCAGGAGCCACAGACTGGAAACTGTAAGCTGTTAAGGGGTTTAGCAATGTATTAAGGGTTCATTGCTGGCACTAATGTTGCTATTCTGTTTTTCAGTGTTTTCCCAAAATGAAATTCCCATGAAGAGGAAAAGTATGTCTTTGCTCCAGTCAATGGATTCCAGGTTGAGGCTAATTTTAAAACAAGGTAATAGTTTAGTGGAACATGCATTAATTGTTTTAAGTTTAGCAATAAAATGTATACAGCCAACTACTTCTGACTCTACAGCTCAACTGGACAACAATGAAGTGGAGCGGTCAAGTAGAGCTGTCAAATGGAGCGGCGACGCCGGCTCCCACAACGTGTCAAGCGACGCCGGCTCCCACAACGTGTCAAGCGACGCCGGCTCCCACAACGTGTCAAGCGACGCCGGCTCCCACAACGTGTCAAGCGACGCCGGCTCCCACAACGTGTCAAGCGACGCCGGCTCCCACAACGTGTCAAGCGACGCCGGCTCCCACAACGTGTCAAGCGACGCCGGCTCCCACAACGTGTCAAGCGACGCCGGCTCCCACAACGTGTCATCTTTTGAATAAAGAAGTGTACTTTGAATTTCTGTTTCCTATCTCACAACTTTGTGTGTGTTTTTTTTTTTTTTTTTTTTTTTTTTTTTTTTTAACAATGCAGCCCAACTCTATTGTAAGCCAAATTCTCCTCTTCATTCTGACTTAGAATTCGACAAACTTAGTAATTTTGTACACAGTGTATACATGAAGTTTAGCTTTGTACAGCACATACTGGTCTTCCAACAATGCCTGAGCAGCCAGGCAATTGGGTAACTGTACGAAGAAAGCTTAGTTGTGGATCCCTGCCCACTGGTCACCACCAACCTGTCCAGGTTTCTAATTGATTATCCCCACTCTGGTAATTGCCAGCTCTGTAGTCAGAAACGTGGCGTTAGAGCTCCCAGGGACCATAGTCTAATGCTTTGAAGCATTGATGCTGTGATCGGCAGATACTGATATTTGTTAGCTTTGATCGGCGCTCAGCTCCACAAACCCTGATGTCAACTATTTATGGGTTGGAAATCCATCCTCGTCTTTCAGCTCATGCCAATGAGTGAAAGCTGGGCTGGGCCAATGTTGATCCTTGGATGTGCTTTTTATTAATGAATGGGGAAAGAGGGAGACGACATAAGCCGTAAAGCAGTCTGAGCATCTGAAGTTTTGTGGCAGGGTTCCTGCCATTTTAAGTTTAGTGTCGTTGAAAGTGATATAAAACCCCCTCAGGCCATGACAGAGGGCCATTCACTGGAAAAAAATAGAAATTCAAGAAGTAATTTTTTTTATTAAAATAAGTGCATTTTCCTTGAATTTAGGAGGTAGGTCTGAAACTTTGCCAATGGAATGGGACAATTTGCATTGTCAATCAAAGTACCTGATGTACAAAACTCTAAACCTGAAACAAAGTTTGAAACCACCTGTGGTGGACTTGACTCCTGCAGACCAGGTTTCAGAGATCATATTTATACGAGTATTTTTACCAGAGAATCAGTCGATTGACCAAAACTTACAACCTGAGACAAAGTCTGATGAAACCACCTCTGTTGAGGACTTCATTCCAGAGGACGATGTTTCAGAGATCACATTTCTTCATGAAGATCCAGTTGAGAACCAAGCAGAAGAAATTAATCAGTTTTACAGCTGCAATGAAGAAATGAAAAATTAAAAGAGAAAAGCAGCAGTGGAAACTCTCAATGACCTGATCTGGAAAATTACTGAAAAATTTGGTCAGAGCTACCCTGATGAACAAATGCACGCCGTCTGTGAGCGTCTGTTCCAGAGTCTCTGGGCTCAAATTGAAGATGGACTCGATGGCTTGACCCCAAAGAAGATTGAAAGCCTGGGCAATGCCGTTTTCAGGGACCTCTGTAAGAAATGTCCTCCAGAGTTTCTCCCTAAATACCTGGATTTAGGGGAGCCAGTAACTGAAGAGAGAATTTTGGCATCCATTAGAAAAGGTCTGCTCTTGAAACCAAAGAGAGTCAGATTAGTTAATGTTGTTAATGGCTACAATGAAGCCATAAGAAACAGCGTGTCTGCGCTTTACTTTGGGATTTAGAGGATTTACAGCCTTCATTTGTCCTTGTTCCAAAAAAAAAATCTACAAAAACTTTTAGATTTCTGATTGTTTCACTCAAGAAATAAAGATAAAAATATAAAATGTGCATTGATTAAAAATCTTATTAGATTAAATAAAAAATTAAGATTGAAAGGCCTCAGTGCCATCCTGTGGCCACATTAGATACTGCAGACCATATTAAATTATTTACTAACCAGAAAAAAGGGGAAAATCATTCAACTATTCATCCTAGTTAAATAAACGGAGATCGATGGATTTCACTCAGTCGGCACATTTATTCATATCTTAGCAAATAGAGAACAGTTCATCATACAGCCCTAATGGCACAGCATTCTGCCCTGTTCTGCCTGAGCAGCGTTCGTTCCTCCTTTCTTACAACAATGGAAAGTAGTCAGAGTCAAAACAAATAACATCACTTTGGTTAAACAGTAACATGTTATGAATAAACCTTGAGGAAGAATCTGATTTGTTATGGGAAGAAGCTATGTCTGGTCTACAAAAACCATCCTGCAGAGAATGAAAGTGAAACAGACTGAAAAACAAAATACATTTTTAATACAAAGACTCTGAATAGAAAACTTTGAACAGCAATAAATCAGGAAGTTTCTTAGCTAATCAGCTAAAATAAACAACGAAAAATGACTATATTTGCAGTTACAGACTCAATTGGTAATATATTACAGGATCCGGAGGGTATTAACAATGCCTTCAGAGATTTCTATAAATCTTTATACACATCACAGTTAAATCCATCAGATAATGATATCAAGCGATTTCTGGAGAAAATAACTCTTCCTAAATTATCAGAGAGTCAAAGAGCGACCCTGGACTCACTGCTGTTTACAGCTGAAGTTCAGGAAGCATTAAAAAGCATGCCAAACAATAAAGCGCCAGGTCCAGACGGGTTCCCTACTGAGTTCTATAAAGAGTTCTGGAACATTCTGGCCCCAACGTTCCACAGAATGCTGCAGGAAACTCAAGATAATGGCAAATTTCCAGTTATTATGAATTCTGCCACCATTAGTCTCCTGCTTAAGCCAAGCAAATATCCTATGTTTCCCACCAGCTATCGTCCCATATCCTTATTTAATGTGGATATTAAATTAATCTGTAAAGCTTTAGCAAAACGATTAGATAAAGTCACTCCTCTCATAATCCACCCAGATCAAACTGGTTTCATTAAAGGAAGGCAGTCAGCTGCTAACACACCAACTGCTGAATTTAATAGATTATTCCTACAGTAAAAATCTTAAATCCTATATATTGTCTTTAGATGCAGAAAAAGCATTCGATAGAGTAAAACTGGACATTTTTATTTGCTACTCTACATAAATTTGGTTTTGGCAATTCCTTTATAAATTGGTTAAAAATATTCTACAGCTTCCCAACAGCCTGTGTCAGGACAAATAATCAAACATCATTATAGCTTTAATTTGGTTAAAGCTATGAAAAGCATGAAAATAGAGCATAAAATTGGTCTTTACGCAGATGATGTATTACTTTATCTCCAGCACTCAAACACTTGCCTCTCTCAAGTGATTAGTTTACTAGAATCTTTCTCAAAAGTCTCAGAATACTCTATAAATTGGTCGAAATCTATAGTACTACCAATTAATTGCTCTCTACAGAATCCCGCAGGCCTACAATTGCAATCAGGAAATATTAAATATTTGGGAATTACTGTGTCATCTAAATTAGCTGATTTACCAAAACTCAACCACATCCCTGTTTTAAAAAAAAAATAGAAGAGGACCTAGAAAGATGGAAATCGCTTCTGATCTCCCTTTTTGGTCGGGTAGCCTCAATTAAAATGATGGTCTTATCTAGAATTAACTACCTATTTTCAATGATCCCCAATAAACCATCATCTGACTGGTTTAAATCTCTAGATTCTTCCATCTCTACATTTCTTTGGAAGGACAAACCCCCTCGTATCAGCTTAAAGACATTACAGAAAACTAAAGACAGAGGGGGACTAGATTTACCTAGCTTCCAACACTACTTCTTAGCAAATAGATAACAATACATCGCTAAATGGATAAAACATAATCCCTTAGATGAGCCCTGGATAGACACAGAACAGTAATAGTTTTAGATATGCCGTTTATTAGCTCTAAGATCAAAAGGCACCCATGTTTTAAAAATATTAACATCAGCTCTTCTCTGACAGCATGGTGGGAATTTCTTAAAATAACGAACTCATCACTTATCCCGTGCAGTCGTACACCCATCTGGAATAACCCTGACATTCTACAAAACAATAATGTGATAAACTTTCCGTATTGGAAGAATAAAGGTATTACATATCTGGATCATTTATTTGAAGGTACAGAGTTTATCACATTTGCTAGATTAAATTTGCAATATGGCATTAACAAAAATAAATACTTAGAATATTAGCAACTTAAATTCCAACTAATATATCAGAGTTTCTACAGTTAACCCCCCCAAACTACTGTCTAAATTATACAGGACACTGACTAAACTGGATGATACAATATCTCTTCCTATTACTAAATAGGAGGAGGATTTATCAGCCAGCTTTGAACAAAACATCTGGGCTCAGATATGTCTAAGAACTTTTAACGTGACTAGAAACCCCAATTTACAATTAATACAATACAAAATCCTCCACAGAGTGAACTATACAGGTCAAAGATTAGCCGATACCGCACTATGACGTCACAAACCAGTAGGTGGCAGTAGTGTTCTTTGACAAACATGGATGCACATTCAAATTAAAATTAATTTTAATGAAAAACATTTATCATTTATTTAACAGGATGGAATAATTTCATGTTTAAAGAACTTTCAGAAGTTTGACTTTTGAATATGAGCGAACTTTTCCTTTAATATTTTAAAAAATGTGATAACATGTTATTACCTTTACGCATCAGTTGGTAATAAATAATGGCTGACTGGTCAGTGACAGAGTCAGAGTGTGACTGATGCTCTATAACAGACTTGAAAACCAGATGGAAGTGACAGCAGAGGAAACACAATCTTTGGTGAAAAAGTTGCTCTGGGCTTTTATTATTTATAAACATTAATAACTGAGTATTTGTTATCAGCTGTTAATCATCAATTCATTCGGAGAAAACTGCAGCTTTCAGTTGCAGAGGAAGAGCGTTAGTGAGAGCACTCTGCCTCTATGGATCATCATCAACCATCTGGGCGTAGATGACAGCAGTAAACAGGCTTCGGTCTGAGCTGTGGACTGTTTTCTTCTTCTTTGGTTTCTTTAATGTTGGATGGTCTCCCAGGGCAGCAAAACACACATTTCTCCCCTAAAATTAAACATCTGATTTAGAATGATGGCAGTTCCTCTAAGGAATGCAATGTGTGTGAAAAACCTGCAATCGATTATTTAGAAAACTATAACTATACTTCAAAGGTTGCATGAAGCGAATTTATTGTTTGTCTAAAAATCTGTTCATAAAAAACTGATAAATGAGTTTCAGTTGGTTACCTCTGATTTTCCTGCAGGTCTCATAGAGTCAGATTTGTTTTCCTTATCATCAGGTGTTTCTGCAGCGGGAATTAAAATAAGAGTCAAGGAATCAAAGTACTGTAATAGAAATGTAGGTTTGGAAGGATGTATATTCAGTCAGTACCTGGTTTCCAGCAAAGGAAGGAACCAAGAAGTGAGGAAAGAAAAGTAGAAAGAAAACAAACAGCAGGACAGACAGAGAACAGCAGCTTCCAGCACAAACCGCACTCCACCACTGGTCTGGAAATGTTCTGATGCAGGAAACCAGACCCTGCATCTAAAACGAGACACATAAAAAAACTCACTTAGTGGGTCTGCATTGGTCACATTTAATGAAAAGATTTTGTAATGGTAAATTATAAAAAAAACCTTTGTTATTTTTTTAATGAGCTCCAAATAAAAGCATCTAAACAGATTGTTCTAGTCTGTAGTTTTAACACAGAGATAATTATTTCTTAATCACCTCCTGATTCTGTGGATGTCATTAGCTGATCTCTACCAGTAAATACTGAGAATCTGCATCATTTTATTAATCATAATTTCAACAGAAATGATTATTGACCAACCAAACACATGTAAGATTATTTTTCTCAAACCCAAAAACCTTTTATTTTTTATTTTATTTTTTGCCAGATCTCTACTGAAAAAGAGATTGTTAATCTTAATGGTTATTTTCTGGGGTCAATAAAGGTCAAATGATAAAGTAAATAAAAATACATTCATCTGTTTGATTTATAAGCATGGTCAAAAGTTTTTATTTTTATTTATTCCAAATAAACCATTAGATGAATCCACTCATTAACATCTTGATGTTTCATCTTTCTCTGATTCAGCTCCACATTAATGTTAAAACACTTTGTGTTGGGAGCTGGAGAAGTACCACCTTCCTCCAGCAGAGTCCGCCGTGGATCCTCCTGAGCCGAGCCTCCTGCACAGCTGCAGCTCATCCCATCATCAGAGGATCCACAGTATTTAAGCTGTCTTCAGACCTTGCCTCGACGCCGCAGTGTTTTATCCAGTTGGTTATCACCTAAGCCTAGTATCTCTGAGAACCTTCGTTGACTTTTGAATCCAGACAGGATTCTAACCTTTGTCTCTGTTTTCTAGGAATCCTGTTTTTCTCCTGTGAAGCTCAGGAAGAGCTTAACCTGCCGAGCCTGCCCTCTGAGCCAAAACCTGAAGCCTTTCTCTGGATTTCCATGCAGCTCAGGACCAAGAGCTGGAAACTCAAAGCCAAGGTCAGCTCTCTCTCAGAAGTAAGACGCTGAAACAGTTAACGGACTCTGCTGAACAAACCATCTCCGGACCCAACAGTTTCCCTCTCAAGGCTTTAACTAAGAACCCTCAAGGTACAAATCTGGAACTGTCTGAATCAAACTCTTCTGAGCAAACGCTAACTGAACTGTCTCCCACGCAGACTCCAGTGAACCAGTTCCCCAGGCCTGAACCAGAACCAGTGATTTATACAGTGCTTGTGACAATAAACATTGTTAAACCTTTTACTTCTGTTTCCGTCTCCGTGGTGTTCTGCATAACTGGGTCTCACTAGTGAACCCATCATGACACTTTGGTCCAACTTTTGTAAAATAATTATTCTTCTAGAAGCTCTGTGATCAAATGAGAAAGGAAAACTTACAGAGTTTGATCCTTGTGCTGATGTTTCCGTAGACGTAGACATTTTTCTCCACCTTTATTTCAAATGTTCCACAGTAATATAGTCCTTCATCAGAATCAGTGACGTTTATGATCTGCAGGTCATACGAGTCGGACGACTGATTCTTTAAAAATTTAAAATGACGATGTAAGTTTTCCTTTTCTAAAATAAAGCTTTTCAGTGTCTCCATCACAAGAGTGGGTTGGTGTTGATGGGAGCAGTTTCTATACCAGACTATATATACTCCAGTGGACGGCCTGCAGTCACAATAGAGGGTGATGTTGTCTCCAGGTCGAACAATCGTCTCCAGCATTGAAGCAGAAATGGAGCAGAGATTCCAGGAAAAAAGTCCTGAAACAGAAAGACGTTGAAGAAAGAACATGAATATTGTTCCAGGATTAAAGCTCCGACATTCAGGAGATCTAAACTTTAAATATAGCCAACTTTAGTTTTTATCCCTATCATGGTCATAATTATTTATATGTTGGTAAATCTAAAAATTACCAAAGAGAACAACCAGAATCATCTGCCTTTCATCCATGGCGACGTTGATCTGCATCTAAGTGACAGTTTCACAGGTTTCATACGGTGAAGATATGATGCAGATTCTTCCATTAAAGGAGATGTAGAAGCTGATTGGCTGTTGGAATGGAACATTTTATTCTGAGGTTTTTTTGGGCGGGCTTAGGTTCATAATGTGAGTTTGGTTGGTGTTTAAGATGATGCAGCTTTGAGAAAAATAACACTGAGCTGAATTGATGAACTGATGAAAGTAATTCTGGATCAAACCAAATACTATTTTTAATCGCATTCATTAAAAATAAGTTTAGTAAAATGTTAAAAAGGTCAAAGATACAGAAATGTTTAGTTAACCTTAATCTGAGCTTAAATATCAGCTAAACCTATTTACACAGGGACAGATAAAACCGTTCAATAAACCAAACATTACCGCCACATATCTGACTCAATAACCATTAAAACAACTATTTTCATTGATTTCAGACGGAACTATTCACAAACTTGGATTATATTAAACTGCACTTCCAATGTTCACCACTGTTCGGCGCTAAAAACCTTTTTCCTCCAAGCAAGGAGCAGTCGGCTTTCCTGGACTTGCAGTGAATCATGGGATACCCATGGCTACGGAGGAAACAGCGGACCTGTCCTAATCTGAACAGACCTCGTTGCCACGGTATGATGTCATCGACCGACAAAGCTGGCCTGCAGAAGACGCAGTTGCTAAATTTGAAGTTAGCAATAATGTGTACCGTGTGTACAATAATGTGCACAATAATGTGTAATTTGTGTTCCTGAGCTCTTGTGGGTGTGAAACGTCATCAGCCTCAGCTCAGTTTTAATTGACAGCAGCTTCCAGGTTAGTATTAAGTTAAGGTATTAAGTTAAAAGTTCTCTTTTCTGTTGCTGTTGTTCAATAAAAGTACGTTTTAAGATCATTTGAGGCAAGAAGATTATACTTTAAGCTTCACTATACGGAACATTTATTGATGTAATGCGCAATTTAAAAAAAGGTTCTGATGTTGAGATGTCCAGGGGCCGTTGCTAACAGCAGCCAGGGCTAACGTCAGCCCGTCTTCAGTAGCCAGGGCTAATGTTAGCCCGTCTTCAGTAGCCAGGGCTAACGTTAGCCCGTCTGCAGCAGCCAGGGCTAACGTTAGCCCGTCTTCAGTAGCCAGGGCTAACGTTAGCCCGTCTTCAGTAGCCAGGGCTAACGTTAGCCCGTCTGCAGCAGCCAGGGCTAATGTTAGCCCGTCTTCTGTAGCCAGGGCTAACGTTAGCCCGTCTTCACCAGCCGCTGGCTCTGATGGCGGTTTGATTGTTTTATTTATTTAAAGTACATTTGATTTCTCGTTATCTGAGCATTATTATTCATTATTATTCCTCCACTAAATGAAAAAAGTCATAATTTATTATTATCTAGAGACTATTAATAACAGGAGCGAAATGCAGCTCCAGACTAGCTTTGAATGTGATGATGTCATCAGTACGCTTCTGTTCCAGTTGACCCAGATCTATGCTGCGTACTCCCGTTCTCCCCGAGTCCAGACTTTCCTGGGTTCTAGTCAAGAACGTACTTGGTGAGAAAACGAGTCCGTACTCGTGTAACGGACATTTTATTCAACATGGATTTTCTCTTATACTCAGAAGCGAAATCCAGCTCAACTCAGACACGAAAGGCCAACTTCACATAAGGTGTATTGAAATACTCCTGTTGAATATGAAAGTGAGTTAAGAGAACTGTCAGAAGAGAGCTGCAGTTCTGTGTTTTGGCCACAGGTGGCAGGATCATTAGAACACTCCATAAGGCCTCTTTAAAGGTTTAAACAGCCCCTGGAACATGAGCTACAGCTGTCACATGTTTTAACACCAAAGAAGCAGGACTACATCCCTCCCATCAATATCACCAGAGTGCTATCAGTTACCATGGTAACGAACTGCTGCATCAGTCAATGCATGGTGACTATCTCTATCACTGTTTCTGGTTTGACTCAGTCAGCTGCCAGCAGCACCAATGCATCCTGGATCCAGAGTTAACGTTAAACTGGTCACCATAAAAACATGGCAGTCATTTCCTCACAGGTTTCCAAGCTGCATTTGTTACAGCAGACGAAATCATCCATTCATCCATTATCTGACAATCATCAGTTTCTTTATTTAACACAATAAAACTTAATATTAGCTGTTTTGTGCAGGACCACAGGTCAGTCATCAGGACTAAATGCTCTGCAGTCCAGCCTTAGTCTCCACAAACACCACAGCCTTCTGTCTTTGTCAGCTTGGCCAACTTAGATCAAAAATCATAAATGTAATTATTTTCTTAGGATCAAAAAGGCCAGGGTGGCAGTACAGGAGACCTGATTTAAAAAGAAGCAGCAGAGTTGTAGTAAATCTGCTTTTAGGCATTTATCTTTGTTGTTCCATATGCCATGCTCATACTTTTTGGACATTGGGAACCAGTGTCCACATTTCATCTTAATAGATGACCAGAGGAGAACATGCAGCTTTGGTGAATAACAGCTGGGGGACTTCTGCAGCCCCCCCTTTTCAGCCAAAGCAGTCATAGGCAAGTCACACGGAAGCCACCAGAGGTGTGAAAACCTACCCCCCCCTGTGTGAGGACAGAGCAAAACCACAGAGCACACAAGACTCTGCCCTTCTTTTTGCCTCTTTTCCTCCTGCTCCCTTTGGCTCCTGCTCTCTTTGCCTCCTCTCCCTTGCAAGAGCTGCAAATGGATGAAACTGTGATGAATATGTGTTGAGCTGTTGCTAAAGCTTAGACAAGCTTTATTCACTAAGGCAGAGGTCTTCAACAGGGGGGCCGCGACTGCTAGGGGGTCCACAGAGGTACTGCATGGGGGTCGCGAAAGATTTAGTTGATTAAGATTTTCTTTTATATTTCCCCCTGCAATTGTTTCCACTAATTGCAATGTCTTTAAAACACACTGTAGTAGATAAATGTAGGCAGAAGATGTCTTTCAGTCATCAATGCTCACATTCAGCGACACCCAGGAGCTCTTTCAAGCTGGGCACCATTTAATTCACAACACCTGTCCCATCAACCAGGAATCAGAATCAGAAATACTCTAATAATCCCAATATAACATAATTTCATACGATATATATAGTTAGGGGGTCCCCGCTCCATCTCGCCATCAGTTCTTGGGTCCTTGGCCTAGAAAACGTTGAGGACCTCTGCACTAAGGGTTTAAACACTGATATAACATTAGTGTTCATGTGTTCCTCAGATGCTCATTACATTTCCATTACCAAGTCTGACCAAGAGTCATTTAGTGGAATCCTGATGTCTATTCGCTGCTAGCTATTTCAAAGAGGGTAAAGAATCATTTAGCTAAAAGTTATTGGTTCCTGATTATAAATAACATATTTTAATTGTTTATTGCCCCCCCCCCCTACCGGGGAGGGCAATAAACATCTTAAAATATCAGACACATAAATTCCCAGCTGGCTGAGAATAGAAAACAACATAAAATCACAACATCTTGTATTCACTCATTGGCTGGAACACGTAGCTTTGTAAAACCATGATAGAAATAATTATTAAATGTACAGAAACAGACGATCTGTTTAACAGAGTTCTTTGGTCTCTCCACTGCTTTGTTATAACAAACTTTTCACACCACTATTTCATTTAAAAGTTATTATCTTAGTTAAAGAGAACTTTACCAGAAAGCTGAAGTGGTGACACTTGAGTTATTGGTTTGGTTAGTCTCTATTTTATCCCATTTCATTTGTCTATAATAAAAATATAACAAAAATTCAGTTGGTATTTAAATATAATTTGTTCTGTTTCACATGTTTTAAAATCCCCGCTATTATCAATCTAACATCTGACTGGGCTGCAGCCAGTCTGTCCTAATCTGTTTATCTCTAAAATCATTGATGATGAACTGCGGTCAGTAAGTTCGTGTTTATTTGCAGATTCGGTTTCTTTGCAGAATCACCTTTGCAGATGCATGAGGGGCCGCTTGTTATTGTGGGTTTCCTGTTAGATTTACCAATGCATTAGTTCACAGAAATATTTTTCCGTCCTGAACCTGTTAACAGGTTTTTAAAACTAGGGGTCATTTGGATGCAGAGGTTGCGATTAATAAAAATGCATTTTTGATAAACCCCAATGAAGAAAACAATGTTTTTCAGCACATCTGCTCCTCTTTCATTACAGTAGAGCAGCTTTTAGATAAAGAAACTGATTTCCAGATGTCTCTATTTTAACAGCTTTATCTGTGCTAATCACATCTCTACACTGATAGAAGTAAAGAAAAACATTTTGGTAAAAAGAACAGTTTTATGTGAATGAACTTCTTAAATAATCTGCATTTGATTTGGCCTAGAATAAAAATATTTACCCAAAATGTAGTAAGTTGTTAAGCAGACCAAAATGAACCTGATAAGTTTCATTTAGAAGAAGAATTTCAGATGAGTACCAATGACCTCACTAGCTTAAAGGGGAACGCCGTTTTTTTTTTTTTTTACATTGGGTCCTTGATTTTACGTTATTCCATCATGTTCTACTCACCCATATGAGTTTAGTGTCATTTGGAGCCGTTCTGAAGATATTCCGTTAGGTTATATCCAAGTAACGTCTTCCTATGGGCAACGACTTGAAGGCACAAACTAAACTGTTCGTAATTTATTCTTTATGGTACGCCAGAATTCAGAACATGTAGGCCAATCACTGTCCCCCAGACATCCAGGGTTAATGAGTTTTGTAGTTATTGGATATCCATTATTAGATGAGAAAGGAATATCAGTTCAACATGAGACCATCAACTCGCTGGAGTAATATATATGAAATTATAAGGAAAATGGCTAAACTACTTTATGTTTTTGTAAAGGTCTCAAAATGTTGGACCCAGAATTCAAGTCCAGACACACAGTGGGAAAGTTCAAAGCGTTTATTTAAACTAACAGGTGCGTGGGGCTGCTCGTCTGCTGCGGGGCGGATCTCTGCAAAGATGGGAGAATACAGGTCAGTGACTGGATGAGGAGCTGAATACGACTTGGAGCAAAGTCACTGACCTGATTCAAAGTTCAGTCCATT